AATCTACTCAGAATCAGAGGTGCTTAATCTCTTATTTCAGTGGAAATGTGCTCACTTGGGCCTTATTCTCTAGGTCACATGAAAAAGTCATCATTGTGTCAGGTAATAACTGCACAGAAATTGCCTTGTGCCAGGATCCAACATGGCTGCCCCTCGCTGTGTCTAAAAACAATCAGGAGTTCAGAGTGGCTGTGCCCATGTTGACCACGACAACACTGGGGTTGCTAGAGAGCAATTGATGGAACTGTTCTGCTCTCTGTCCCCCTGGCACAAGACAGCTTGGTGTTGCTTTGACCTTCAGAGTATTTATTCCATCCCTCCTCTGCCATGTTGCTGGTCTGATCTTATACATCAGTGAGTCCTTGCCAGTGATGGATGAAGGGTTGAGTACAGCAAATAACAACAGGAAGGCTTTGGTAGGCAAGCATCACTTCTATGTAGAAGACATAGCAACTCGAATCCAACAGATGTACATGGAGCTGCATGTTGTTGTTGTTAGATGTCAGTTTTGAGTCACACAGTGAACAACAGAATGGAACACTGCCCAGTCCTGTGCCATCCTCACAGTCGTTCCCATGTTTGAACCCATTGCTGCTGCCTCTGTGTCAGTCCACCTCAGTGAGGGTCTGCTTCCTTTTCGCGTACTCTCTACTGAGCACGATGTCTGTCTCTGAGGACTGGTCTCTCATCATAATGTGTCCAAAGTACGTGAGATGAAGCCTTGCCAGCCTCGTTCCTAAGAAACATTTTGGCTGTACGTCTTCCAGTACAGATTTGTTCGTTTTTCTGCAAGTCCATGGTGTGTATTTGATACTTTTGAATTCCAGTATTGAACTTATGGTATTGAAGTATATCAAATGCATACCACAATTAAATCAATTCTTCTTTGGTCTTCCTCATTTTCCAGTTGTGTATGCATGTGATGTGACTGAAAATACTATGGCTTGAGACAAGCACACCTTAGTTTCCAAATTGACATCATTGCTTTATAATACTTTAAAGACATCTTTTGCAGATTTGTAGGAGATGTTGTTTTTTTAGGTGTGATAAAGTGAGCCCTGATGTATGACAACCTCACGCACAATGGAACAACACTCGCTCTGGTTCTGTGCTGCCTGCCCCATGACTGGTGGATCAGACCACTGCGATCCATAGAGTTTGCACTGACTGATTTTCAGTTTATTGCCAGGCCTTTCTTCCTAATCCTTGGTCTGGAAGGTCTGCTGAGCCTCCCTCCTTCAGCCTCATAGTAACGCACAAGCCTCCACTGACAGATGGGTTGTGCTCTGCATGAAGTACATTGCCCAGGAATCGAACCTGACCTCCCGCATGGAAGGCAAGAATTCTGCCTCTTTACCATCAATATCTTCTAAGGTTATGCTACACAAACCCAAACCAAAACCTCTGCCATCTTGTCCATACCAACTCATAACAACACTGTATAGGGTTCCCGATGACATAAAAAGTCCCATTGAATGGCTGGTGGGTTTGAACTGCCGACCTTTTGGTTAACAGCCAGTGCTTATTCCACAGCACTACCAGGACTCCTTAGGACTACATAAGGCTAATACTATGCCCTTCATGTTGTTGCTGTCATGTGCCACCAATCCGTTCTGACCACAGTGACTCTGTACAGTTTCCAAGTGTGGTGGGTTGGTTTGAACTGCTGATTTTGTGGTTGGCAGGCCAGTGCTTATTCTGTAGTGCCATACCAGGGCTCAGTTTCCCTCATACTGAAGGATAAACTAGAGCAGAAATGTCTCAGTTGTTTGGGAAGTAACCTAGGATTTTACTTTTGTGGTGATCATTTCTCCATCCAAAATCGCAAAGTAGTTTTTGTTCAGTTGACAGTGATTTCTTATTCCTGCTCCAAAAGATGCTATGAGCCATCAGGGGACAATTTATAAGGCACTTGAGCAGTTTCTCTTAGCTGGTTGGATGGGTTTTTCTTGACCTTTTCTAGACTACTCTATCAAGAACAGTCTTTCCTGTACTATTTCATTCTTTTATTATGCCTTTATCACAGACCTACCATTTGCTATAGTAGGATAAGCTCTGGACTGGTTAAATGCAAAGTAGAGGTTCAAACCCACCAGCCCTCCTTGGAAAGTCATAGATCACTATGAGTTGGAACCAACTCAACGTCTCTTCACAACAACAGCAACCCTTTGCTAGATCCCTTGTGCAGCACTGTAGGATAAGTACTGAACCACAAGGTTGGCAGTTCAAATCCACCAGCCACTCTTGGAAACTCTATGCAGGATCGCTATGAGTTGGAACCAACTTGACGGTACATAACAACAACAACTCTTTGCTTGGAAATGGATGTATTTCATTACTTTGCCTGAGACATGTTCTTGCCTTTAAATGGGTGTATATGAGGATGAACCATTTTGAATTGTGCCCCATCAGTAAATGAAAGTCCCGAAAACTTTACTCCATTTGAGTCATTATGGTCAATTCTACTTTGAGGAGACAGCTCTTCCCTAGTACTATTTTGAGTGCTTTCCAACCTGAGGGGCTCTTATTGTGGTACTGTACCTGATAATACTCCGGCACGCTTCATCATGTTTCAATATTCAATATTCTTAGAAGCCAGGATAGCTAGACTTCATCTCTCATATTTAGGACATATTACCAGAAGGGACCAGTTCCTGGAGAAAGACATCATGCTTGGTAAAGTGGAGAGTCGAAGAAAAAGAGGAAGACTCCCAACGAGATGGATTAACACAATGGCAGTGACGATGGACTCAAACATAGCAGCTATTGTGGGGTTGGAGCCAGACTGGACAGTGTTTCATTCTGTTGTGTGTAGGGTTGCTATGAGTCAACACTGACTCGATGGCACCTAACAACAATGAGGATGAATCCATGCAATGCCTTACCATATAGTAGTTACCAAGACACTTGCTTTTATTCTGAATCTTAGCTCCCTCATCTGTAGAGAAACTTGCCCTAGGCATTTTCTATGAGGATTATAGAATGTTACACATTGGAAAAATATTTTGTAAACTATAAAGTGCACTACCATTGGTCATTTTATGAATAATAATCATTGCCTTACATTATGTAAATGTTAGCAACATACGTCTTCCAGTTGCACAGTGTATGTCTTAACGTGATGTAGAGGAGTTTGCCCATATGTTCCCCTCAATAAATTATCCTGCTCAGTAGGTTTAGGAAGTCTCAACATCATTGGGCATATTTATTGACTTCCTGAAGTATACCTTAACTTGCAATACGTGTTTAGGGATTAGAAGTATTTGGAACGTATTGGAGGACACAAGTTGAACAAATTCTCCCCAAAAGCCTGGCATTTGAACAACCAGAAGTACCCTGTTATTCTACAACTGACAGGTTGTATTAGTCATTTGGAGGGAGAGAGAAAGGAAAGAAGGGAAGGGAGAGGGAAGAAAGAAGGGATGAAGACTGGAAGAAGATGGCCTTTGCAGAGGAAGACACAGGGAGGAGTGTTAAGAATTAAAGGCGACAGAAGTAAATACAGCTGTAGACACCAGCCTGCGATGATGGTCATCAGCCAGGAGATACATCGATAGACATGTAGGCTGAATGGATGGCTATAAGAGGGTAAGTAGGAGTACACCCACACATACAGATTTAGGTTTTACAAAGGATGTCTGTACATGAGTATTTGTACATGCTGCCAATATATCCTTGAATGTCGTAGCGAATACAGGAAACAAAGTTATGACAGCTTCTTAAACATGACCAAACACTTTGAGGAACTGAGGACTCAGGATCATAGTCTCAGAGGACACCAAGATCACTTGCTATAACAGAATCCACAAAGACAGTGTTCTACATCCTACTTTGGTGGGTAGCGACTGGATTCTTAAAAGCTTGTGAACAGCTACCTAAGATGAAACTGTCAGTTTCCCTGTGTCTGGGAGAATGAAGCATCGCTGCGTTCCAAGACACATGAAAACACTGAGTCCATTAGTCTAAAGGACCATGGACACATCAATCTCCACAGTCCTGAGACCTGAAGAACAAGATGGTGCCTGCCTATCCTGTCTACTCCGAAAAAGATTCCATTAGAAAGTCATGGAGAGAATGGGAGAAAAATGTGGAACAAACCTCAGAATCATAAAACAAGACAAGGCTTACTGATCAAACAGACACTGGTGGAATCCCCGAGACTCTGGCCCTCAGTCACCCTTCAGGTCTGCAAATGAACGCACCGCCATGGCTCAACTTTCAGCCCAAAAATAGACATCTGTAAGAACAGTGACACACATGCGGTGCACACATCTTAGAATAATTGACCGTGTGGAGTGAAAAGGGCAGCATTTACCCAGGAACAAAGTTCAGAAGGTTAGGAAAGAAGGAGGAATGGAAACAGAAGACACAGAGAGGAAACAGGATATGTGATGTTACATTGTGGGGACTGTAATCAATGAGAGAAAACAAAGTGGGTATGAATTTGTGACTAGAAAAATAGTTTGCCCTTTAAACCTTTATGTCATTCACATTTTTTTTTAAAGAAAAGAAAATGATCTTTTGGGGGGCTACCCCATGTCCATGAAGCAGTGGTTCGTTGGGCAGGGCTACAGTATCATCCAGCTACTCAGTCCCGACTACAGAAACCAGTCTGCATCAGGTTCTCTAGTAGAACAAGAATTCAGGCCCTGGGCTTGTCATCATAACCTAGTTTTAACCCTTCATTAAGACCAAGAAATACATCAGATCAGATGAGGTGTCCTGAGCCAGCTTCCAATCACACTGCTCCAAATGGCAAATGATTTAGCCAGGATCCCATGAGATTGTAAAGAATTGAATCAGGTTCTACTGAGATGCCCACTGAAACCTATGAACAGAAATCATCGTGGGATTGAGTCTCACTCATTTGAACCTTCAAACATTGAGAAGTAGTATGTATTTGGCTCCATTATTGACCTTGGGATGGACAAACTCTAGTTATAGCCTCAGGTCCGGAATGGTGTTGGTCCTCACCAGCTCCTCTGATTCTTGTCTTGCAGAGAATACCAGCCTGCGCTCAGCCTGTGTCCATGAGGGCACTGTGCACAGCCGTGTCTTCCAGATCTTGTACAGGAATGAAGAGGTGCCCATCAACGATGTGGTGATCTTCCGAGCTCATTTGCTCCTAGATGGTGAAAGGGTAAGTCTCAGCCCTGTGGTCAGTCTCTCACGTGCCTCTTTAAATTCATCACTGACTAAGTGGTAAAAGAAGGCGCAGTTAAGAGACTTTTCTTAGGAATCTGATAGATGAAATTCATGATCTTAAATCATCCATGCATTTTATAGATATATGTACATGCACACATGTATGCGTGTATGTATATATGTATGTATGTGCCCATGTATGCTTGTATACATTTATGCATGATGTGTCTTTATTTATTTGTGTAGTCTACTCTTTCTTTCATTAATATACTTACTCATTCCATGTTGCCTCAAGTACAAGCCATCCTGCAGACTTTTCAGAAGCTGGGGCTGTCTAATCTTTGTTGGCATCGCCAGTACCTGCCATAGGACCACACTGGAGATGTTTAACAGTGACAACTTAATTGGCAAATAAATGAATTAATGATGAACAGAGCTAGAAATCTTCCTCTTTCTAGGGTCTTTGCGGTCCCTTCTGCCCCAACATGCACACTGTTTGGTAGCCTTCACTCACACATCATGCCTGGGGCCAGGATTGCTGACTATTAAAACTGAAGTAACACACACCAGATTCCACACACCTAACTCACTGGAACCTTGAATCCCTCTTTCTGATGCCATACTACAGATCCTTTAGCTCTAATGGAAATTGAAGAGATAAAAACGCATTCCCATTGGATGCTGTTCAACATCATCTGATAGACTCTCTATCTAGACTCACTCTGTGCCCCAGGAAGCTGCCTAAATGGACTGCTCATTATTTTACCATCTTTTGGTTTCTGATTGAGTTCAGCCTATGAGCAAGCCTGCAGGTGATTGGAGGGAGGTAGAAAAGAAGGGGGTGAGGCCAGATCACGCATCAGCTGGCTCCGTTTTCCCTGCTGGGGACACAAGGCTGGCTGTACCCAGTGTTGTACAGGTGCTGGTTTATGCCAGATTTCGAGGGTCAAATGTGTGCCCATCTCTGTGTAGTATCTTCACATTGGTGGCTTGAAATCAGAAGTGAAGGAAGTATTTCCACCACAGACACTGGCTAACGCTACAAAGCAGGGCTGTTTGTTTTCCCTCTGAGAGCTGACTATGAACTCTTTGCAACACAGCCACTCTCTGTGTCCTTCTGCCAGAGGTCCCAGCTACTGTCATTCTCCTTGTAGCTTCCTCTCCAGTTCTGGTACTTGTTTCCTCTGCTTTACCATCCAACTCTAGAGTGCTAAAAAGTCTGTGCTTATTAACCCAAGACACTGAGCTACCCTTGGTGCTCCCCATGCATTTGTCATGTATCCCTTTAAACAACCTACTCAGATTCCTCATATTAACTACAACATTAATTTCCTTCCAGGACCCTGGTGAAACACTTACCAGAGGAAAAGATACCCATAGAGTGCCTTGAGTTGTAGGAACTCTCATGCTCAAGTTCAGCTTCCCAAATGTGAATAAGAAAACTGGACTCTCTGTCTTATGGGCTGCTGCCCTTTGTTACATTGATCCCAAACGACTCCTAGGGTGAAGTGAGCATTTCTGGGATCTTGACCATGATTCCATCTTAATAACATCAAAGTCTCACTCTTGTCCCAAATAGCTAAACATTTTTCAAGATAGAACTTAGCCAACACCCAACTTTCAAGTGTGTGAGGTTGCAACAAGCCATGCTGATGAGGTTTACCAGGGCTTCTGTTGGGCAGTGTGTAGTCCTCTCCTTTGCATGTTGTTGTTGTTGCTAGGTGCCGCTTAGTTGGTTCTGACCCATAGCTACCCTGTGTACAACAGAATGGAAAAATACCTGTTCTCAACTAGCCTCGCAGTTGCTGCTACTCTTGGGCCCATTGCTGCTGCCACTCTGTCATTCCATCTCATTGGGGGTCCCCTTGTTTTGGGCTGGCCCTCCACTTTACCAAGTGTGATGTCCTTCTCCAGGGACTGGTCCCTCCTGATAATATGTCCTAAGTGTGAGGGACAAAGTATGGATAGGCAGTCTCCTCTGCATACCAAATGGCTTATCTCTGCAGCTAAGAATTTACTGTTGTATTGGGGATAATTCACACAGAAGCAAACAGTGTTACAACTGATCATTACAGCCAAATCCATGACAATTAAAGTTAATTGGCTATGCTCATAAAAAACGAAATGGATAAATTAGCTCTTTTCCAATGAATATCTGTCCGCTCGTGACAACCAGAACACTGCTGAGAGCCAGGCGGCTGGTGTGTGATCACGTACGCACACAGCCACCACTGTGGCCACCCTCCAGGTGTGCAGTGCTTGTCCCTCACAGGACATTAAGAAGAGGCCAGCTCAGCAGTAAAGGTACAAGAGTGCAAAAGGGGGGCCAGAACTGAGCACAGGTTCAGAAAAATGGGGGGCTCTTTTAATAAGAGCTGGAAAGAGTAAATGAGTGTGATGGTGAGCTGGTATTTTATGTTGTTGTTGTTGTTAAGTGCTGTTGAGTTGGTTCCTACCCATAGTGACCCTGTATAGGGTTTCTGAGGAGCGGCTGGTGAGCTTGAACTCAACACTGACCTTGTGGATCAAACCAACTTAGCAGTCCAGCACATTAACTCACAGTGCTACACCAGAATTCCATTTTATGTATATGTCATTGTTGTTAAGTGAGTTCTGACCCATAGTGACCCTGTACAGGGTTTCCGGGAAGCAGCTGGTGAACTTGAACTGCTGACCGTGCAGTTCAATTGGCTTTGCAGTCTGATACATTAACCCACAGCACCACATCAGGACTTCATTTTATGTATATTATTTTGTTGCTGTTGGGTACCATCGAGTCGGTACCAACTCATAGCAACCGTATGCACAACAGAATGAAACACTGCCCAGTCTTGGGCCAACCTCACAATTGTTCACTTTGCCAATATTCACTTTGCCAATCTATCTCGCTGGGAGTCTTTCTCTTTTTCTCTGACCCTCCACCTTACCAATCATTATATCCTTCTCCAGTGACTGGTCCCTCCTGATAATATGTCCAAAGTGTGTGAGATGAAGTTTGAGCACCCAGGCCGCCAAGGAGCACTCTGGCTGCACTTCTTCCAACACAGATCTGATTGTTCTTTGGGTAGCCCATGGCACTTTCAATATTCTCCTCCAACACCGTAACTCAAAAGTATCAATTCTTCTACGGTCTTCTGTATTCACTGTCCAGTTTTCACATGCATATGAGGTTATTGAAAATACCATGGCTTGGGTCAGGTGCACCTTAGACCTCAAGCTGACATTTTTGCTCTTCAACACTTTAAAAAGGTCTTGTGCAGCAAATTTGCCTGATGCAATATGTCTTTTGATTTCTTGACTGCTGCTTCTACGAGTGTTGATAGTTGATCCAAGAAGAATGAAGTCCTTGACAACTTCAATCTTTTCTCTATTAATAAAAATGTTGTTTATTGGTCCAATGGTGAGGATTTTTGTTTTCTTTAAATTGAGATACTGAAGGCTGTGGTCTTTGACTACACTCTAATTCAATGAATGTAATTGTACATATGGATTCCTGGTGGGGTGCTATAGGATAAGAACTGGGCTGCAAGGTCATTTTGAATGACAAGGTCAGCGGTTCAAACCCACCAACCATACTTCAGAAACCCTATATAGGGTCACTATGAGTTGGAACGGACTCAACGGCACTTAACAACAACACTCTATGTAATTCCACGTACGAGGTTTCGGTTTGGTGCTGTAGGATATTCACTGGGCTGCTAACCAAAAGATCCATGGTTCAAACCCACCAGCCACTCCTCAGAAACCCTATACAGAGTAGGAACCGACTTAATGGCATTCAACAATAAGAAAATTCCACATTTATGTCATGCTGTGGGTTAATGTACCAGACTGCAAAGCCATTTGAACTGCAAGGTCGGCAGTTCAAGTTCACCAGCTGCTTCCCGGAAACCCTATACAGGGTCACTATGGGTAGGAACGGACTCGACAGCACTTCACAACAACAACAACAACAACATGTAATTCCAGAGAATAATTGAGAAGGATTGTAAACATACATAGACTAGAAAAAGGCAAAAAAAAAAAATCAAATAATCTGGGATGGACTAAAAACACAAGCAAGAAATAAAAGTCCACTGCCACTAATTGATGCCAAGACTTAACGACCCTACAGGACAAAGTGGAACTGCTCTTTAGAGCTTTCCCAATGTCACCTTTCTACCTCGGAGCAGCTGGTGAGTCAGAACTGCAGGCCTTAAGGTAAGCAGCCCGATGTGCCGTTCATTTCAGAAAGTCAGGGCTCAATGCAATAGATCAAACTGTGGTGTGATAACTATACTGTGGCAACTGACAGCCCATGAACTTAGCACTAAGCTTCCCAGGCAGAGAGGAAACTAGTGTTGGTGGTTGTGTGTTGGAGTCCCGCTCACAGCAACCATGTATAGAGTTTCTGAGACTGTAAATCTTTACTGGAGCAGAAAGCCTCACCTTTCTCCCTTGGAGCTAGTGGTAGATTTGAACTGCTATCCTAGCAGTTAACAGCCCAGCTCATCATCCACTGTGCTACCAGTGAATCTTAGAGAAGAAGGTGGAGTTATTGTTAATGAGCTGCCTAAGCTATGCACTAACAGCATTTTATAAAGTCACTTAAAAAAGGTCATGAAAAAATTCCATTGCCTTTCAATTACAAGTTTTCATGAGCTCTTTGAGGCCCCTTTGTGCATCCACTGGGTGTGTTTTATGTGGCAGCTATGGCTGGGTGCTTGGGAACAGCATTGCATTTCTGTTCCCAAGAATCCAGCCATAGCTGCCACCTTCCTAAAGGCCACTCTTTTTCCTTGTACTGAAGGCATGGTTCCTTCAGGAAAGAACTGAGATTTAGAAAGTTTGCTTTGGCAGAAATATGGACAGTGGGTCCAAGAGACCAAAGGCATGGAGAATGGTGCTACAAGAACCTGAGTGTTAGCATCACTGTCGAGGCAGCAGCAGCAGGAATGGAAAGGATGCTTTGAAGGTGACACAGTAGCCTTGGGAAGTAGACAGCACCATGCTGAGAAGGGAGTTAAGTGGAAGTTGATCCGAAGGCTTGCCCATGAAACAGCTCAGAGTTGCAATTGTTTGTCCAGAACAAATGGAAGATTTGTATTGTGTGCCATTGAGTTGGTTCCGACCCATCTGACCCTGCATAGGGTTTCCGTGGAGTGGCTGGTGAGCTTGAACTACTGACCTTGCAGTTCAAACTGACTTTACAGTCCAGCGCATTAACCCACAATGCCATAAGATAGCAAGGTTTTATTGGGGAGTGGTATGAATTCAGGGTGAATTATAACAGCAATCACAGTGATCCTAACACTAACAGCATTTATGAAGTAACTTCATAAAGTTCTTGGAAAAATTCAATTGTCTTTCAATTACAAGTTTTCATGAGCTCTTTGAGGCCCCCTTGTGCATCCACTGGGTGTGTTTTATGTGGCAGCTATGGCTGGATGCTTGGGAACATGTCACTAAAGCATCACAACAACATGAGGAGATGATTTATGATTCCCTTAGACAGATGATGTTGCCAAGACCTGGGCTATTTATATAATCTGTCCATGTCATTCCACTAGGAAATTCTAGGGTCAGAAATCAATCTAGACAGTCTGATCATAGGCTTGTGTGTGAAACCAGAGAGCAGAATGCCATGTGACTTTGGTGGAGTCATAGACCTTTTGGATGGCTAGACCCAGCAGAAGGTTGAGAGTAGTAACAACAATAGCTAGTATTTGTTGAAAATTGTCTTTTTCTTCCATACAGTGTGAAGCCCTTTATATATATTTTTCTTTCTAATTTCATTTTATTAGCAGTGCTATGGAGTAGGTGTTTCTCTGCTAGTCATAAGGTTTTCAGTGGCTAAATATTTGGAAGTAGGTCGTCACTCCTTCTTCCTAGTCTGTCTTCATCTGGAAGCTCATCTGAAACCTGCCCATCATGGGTGACCCTGCTGGTATTTAAAATACCGGTGATATAGCTTTCAGAATCACAGCAACTCACAGGCCACCGCAGTATGACAAACTGACAGACGAGTGGTGGTCATGTTTGGTAAGGTGGAGGATCAGAGAAGGAGATGAAGACCCCCAACGAGATGGATTGGCCAAGTGGCAGCATTGATGGACTCAAGCATGGCAACAGTAGTGAGTTTGGCCCAGGATTGGGAAGTGTTTTGTTCTTCTGTGCATGAGGTTGCTCTGAGTCGGTGCCGACTAGATGGTGTCTAACAACAACAATTGAGTAGGTGTAATTATCCTACCTCCATATTTGACAAATGAGAAAATGAACTTCTAGAGGTTGGCTAGTCTTAGACAAGTGTGCTGCACAAGACCTCTTTAAAGTGTTGAAGAGCAGAGATGTCAGTTTGAGGAATAAGATGCACCTGACCCAAGTTAAGATATTTTCAGTAGCCTCATATGCATGTGAAAGCTGGACAGTGAATAAGGAAGACCGTAGAAGAATTGATACCTTTGAGTTATGGTGTTGGAGGAGAATACTGGAAGTACCACGGACTGCCTAAAGGACAAACCGATCTGTGTTGGAAGAAGTACAGCCAGAGCACTCCTTGTTAGGATGGCCAGACTTTGTCTCTCATATTTTAGACATATTATCAGGAGGGATTAGTCCCTGTATAAAGATGTCATGTTTGGTGACGTGGAGGGTTGGAGAAAAAGAGGACGACCCCTAATGGATTGGCATGGTGGCAACAACAATGGGCTCAGACGTAGCAACGATTGTGAAGTTGGCACAGGAACCGAGGAATATTCGTTTCAGTTGTGCATAGAGTTGCTATGGGTTAGTACCAACTCGATGGCACCGAAAAACAACAACAACAACAAATTCATAAAGATACTAAATGGCAGAGCTGGGTCTTCAACCCATTTGTGAAATAGGATAAGCACTGGACAGCAAGGTCAGTTTGAACTGCAAGGTCAGTAGTTCAATCTCACGAGCCGTTCTTTGGAAACTCTATACAGGGTCACTATGAGTCAGAACTGAGTCAATAACACTTAACAACAACAGCATTATGGGCTATACATTGGGCTGCTAGCTGCAAGGTCGATGATTCAAATCCATCAGTTAATCCAAGGGAGAAAGATGAGGCTGTATGATCCCGTAAAGATTTATAGTCCCAGGACCCCTATACAGGGTCACTATGAGTCAGAATTGGCTCGATGGCAGTGAGGGTGGGTATAGCTTAACTTCAAAGCTGCCGTTTCAACAACTTGACTGTAGTGAAGCTAAGAGTAGAGGAAAAAAACGTAAGAGTCGCCATTATGGGTATGAGGGTTGAAACTGACCAGAGGGCATTTGTACAATGTAGGACACAGATTAGACCTTAGAGACCAAGGAAGTAGAGTCCTGGGTGGAGCCCGAGGTGTAGGATTCCTAGTTGAATTTAGGAAAATGTCTTTGCAGCATTGAGCTTGTCTCATTGAAATGAGAAATAAAGCTTCTTGTCTCGGTTTTGTCCACATTAAACAACACAGTGTATCTCACTGCCTGCTGTGTAGTAACCAATTAGCTCCTACTCTCTGGCTAGTGAAAACTGCCAGTGCATTGGACTAGTAACCAGAAGGTTGGCAGTTTGAATCCACCTAGAGGTGCCTTGGAAGAAAGACTGAATCGTCTACTTCTAAAAGGCCAGCCACTGAAAAACCTCTGGAGCCCAGTACTAATTTCCCAAGCATGGCGTCTCCATGAGTTGGAGTTCAGTTGATGGCGAATGGATAGTATTCCCACTATTATACATGGGGGCTTCCTGGTGGCGAAAGCAGTGTCTCTTCACAGAACATGGTGTCTTTAGCCAAGAAGAATCAAAAGGGAAGGGAATTGAAGTGACGTGTGTGTGTGTGTGTGTGTGTGTGTGTGTGTGTGTGTGTGTGTGAGGAAGAGCATGCGGTCGAAGATGAATGAGTGTTTAAGGAAAACCGTGACTTCACTCTGCTATTTTTAGCCTTTGGGGATTAAAGGTTTATGGTGACACCCATGGAGACATAACCACGCTTACTTTAGCCACAGCTTACGGAAGCAAAAGTATTTTTCTCCAAAGGAATTGCAGTGAGTCTGTGAAACCCTGGAGCTCACAGTGAATTTGCCGCAACTGAGAAAGTGCATGCTCAGAAGTCGTGGGAGAGGATTGACTCTGACAACCTCATTTCCAATGAACTGCTAGCAAGAAAGTCTGCTACACACATGTTTGCCTTGTGTACACTAAGCGAAGTTTGTCATTGTGCAAAATAGCACCTGGATTCAGCAAAATGTTAACCTTTCAGTGTTGTTGTTGTTGTTGTTTTTAACAACAAAATTTAAACCCTGGGGTTCTAAAGATAAATCCAATGCAATGTCTCTGCCTGAATTTTGTTTAATCAGAAACATATTTCCAAGGAGATGGGCGCTGTATATGTCTGAAGGACCAGGGTATATTCTTGCCACACCAGCAAGAAAAGGAAGAGGGAGAGGGAGAGGTTTACTTATCCCATAAAGATTCCTTGATATTTTTTCTATTTCAGGTACCAGTCCCAGTTGAATTAGGACTGGTCTCTTCCCTAAGGGTGGGCAGATTACAGGCATAGGGGGACCAGAGGTCAGGAAGTCTCAACAGGAAACTAGCTCCAAGGACATAGCTGTTGCACAGATGAACTCTGTGATCTGGTAGAAAATGGCAGAGCATACCCCTGACCCGGCTCTGCCAGACCCAGAGATGATTCTCAGAAGGAGTTGTAAATCCTCAGAGGTCACATGAAATTGCTTGCTTTTTAAATTCTCAAAGTCACAAACATATTAAATCGTGCCAGAACTGGTGGTGCAGTGGGCTAAATGTTTGTCTGCTAGCCGAAAGGTTGGTGGTTTGAACTCAGCAGCCCTTCTGTGGGAGAGACATGAGGCTGTCTGTTTCTGTTAAGATTTACAGTCTCAGAAACTGTCTGGAGCATTCCTAGTCCATCCTGGGCCCACTATGAATCAGAACCCACTCAGTAGCAATGGAGTTGGTGTAGCTTGACTTCAGAAACTGCTTTCTTTGTTACTTGCAACTTATTAAAACAGATACATAAATAAATCAAGACTACACCACATGTGCCTGCAGGTAATATTTGCCCCATGGACTTCCAGATCATAAACCTGAAATAAGAAACTGTAAGCAAACTGAAATAGCAGTTGTCAAATGAATTCAGATACATGGTGACTGCATGTGTTGTAGAGCGGAGCTGCTCCTTAGAGGCCTCAGTCGTAACCTTAATGGAAGGAGTCCTGAGGTGGCGCTGTGGGTTAACATGGTGGTCTGCAAGGTCTGTGGCTCAAGCTTACCAGCTGCTCCTCAGAAACCCCATACAGGGTCTCTATGGGTCAGAAGCGACTCGATGGCACTTAACAACAACAAGAAACTTAATGGAATCAGATTGCCAGGTATTTCTTCCATGATGCTGGGTGAGTTCAGATCACTGACCTTTAAGGTTAGCAGTTGAGTGCAAATGTTTGGTACCATCTAGGCAGTTTAATCTATAGCTATCTCTCCGTCTGTCTTTTCTTCCATTTGCCCATCCATCTGTCTATCTATCTGTCATTTATATATCTGAGGAGCCCTGGAGATCTGTAAAGGGTAAGTTCTTCGGTTCTCATCCATCCATCCATCATCTATCTACCTGCCTACCTACTTACTCCTTCCTTCTGTTCTCCATGTAGTACCTAGAAATTCCCATGGAACATACACAAGACTTCGGCTGTAAACATGAATGTTTTGTTAATTTGGTGATGAGGTTCTTTTTCTGTACTTCGGGGAATTTCTATACTTCTGAAATCCCTTGGACTTTTTTTTTCTGTTATAGGTGGAAGATGTACTGAGTGAAGTAGATTTCCAGCTCAAGGTGGACCTACACTTCACAGACAGTGAGCAACAGTGAGTGTCGCTACGTTCCTGGAACCAGGGTAATGGGTGGTCTTCCTCCACGACTTCCCCCTCAAGACCAGGAGTGTCCTGACCATTGCTCTCAGAAATCCTACTTTTGAGCAGCTGGGGTGCCTGTGTATTGTCTCAGCCAGTCCATGTGCGACTCAGGCAGGTAGCTCAAATACTGAAGACAGAAGACTCCAGACTCCCTGGTCTCAGCCAGTCCATGTGCGACTCAGGCAGCTAGCTCAAATGCTGCAGACAGAAGATTCCAGACTCCCTGGTCTCAGCCAG